AGCCGGCCTTGACCATGTGAGTTTGGGTATTAGGTGTGCCACTTGCTTTGTTTAAAAACAAAAAAATAGGATTTTCTAGACGACCCTTTTCCTTTCCAATAGTCGCCTCCAAAAAGATGATTGGAAAGAACGTCTGTGAAATAAATTGTGTCCCAAATGATGTTGCAAAACAAAGGGTGGAGTTCTGCAAAATGGGTTACTAATTGCCTTGGAAATCTCCAAGGACTTTACAACCACAAAAGTGTAATAAAAGCTACAAATCCTAAAATTAACACAAAATCCTAAGGCAATTAATCTAACATGAAATCAGTAAAAGAAAATAACATGCCACAAAAATAAAACTCACAGGCAACATAATGTAAAATCACAGACAACAATTTCCACTACGCAATCCATAACAATTAAACTGACTACTTGCAAATTTAAAATAAAAATAATCAAACCACTTGATAACTAAAACTGAAGGAGAATCTACGAAATAATTAAAGTTTGGAAACTTGTAAAATTAAATTTGGAAATTGAAATTAAGTAAACTACAGGTCTAACAGTTATGCAAATATAAGGAAAAGAAGGCAGAAAGCATTCAACTTATTTACATGAACAAATAACATAGATGAATTCCTAAGAGAAAAAGAACTAACCAAATCAATGGGACAAGCTCGTTCTCAAGGCTGATCTAGTTCCAAATGCTTGAAAACTAACCTAAGTTGAAATCTTTAAGGAAAGATATGAACAAGAATGGAAAAACCTAAACTAAAGCTATGAATAAGAATAGATCTTGCAAACTAATCTGGAAACTATGCTGAAATCTAGGAAAAAGCAGTCTAAAAGTTGAAAAACATATGCTCTGGGCAGTGTGTGTAAGGCAGGTTGTTTAGAACTGATTTTTTCTTCTTGTTTTTCTTTCCTTCGGTGCTGGGAAACCTCCTCCATGTTTCTCAACCTTCTCTCACCATGATTGAGTAATGGGGACTCCACGTCTGGCAGTTGTCTGGCAATTTTCTATTTTTGGTTCACTTTTATCTCCAATAAACCCTAGGGATAACCTCCTCCTAAAAACTTTCAATTTCCTACTTTCAATCAAACTTAAACACCAGAACCCAACTTATCTTCTGCCAACTAAACTCCAACCTCCTTGAAAATTCGTCTAGGCCCTTTAATTCCAAGTTAGCCCAACCCACTTCCACCTAATCCAACTTAATGACTTTCCTTAAGGATTGGGCTTACTCTTAACACATGGCTTTATCTCATTGATTTATTTCTAAGTTGTATACAATGCCCCCCAACACTTAGTTTTATGGGAATAAATCCAAGTGTTTAAATTTTGAACTCACCTTTAAGGTCTCCTAAAACCACGTGCATAATCAATCTAAATCTCAACTTTTTACTTCCCCTCCCGAAAATCTACAAATCTCCTTATCACCTCTTAATCTCCTCTTTCATTTAAATATATATAACCGTTGACTCCCCTTTTTCTTTTTTCTTTTTTTTTAACTATCGACTCATCTTCTACCCCACATTCAACAACACCTCATTTGGGGAATCACAATCAAAACAGAACAGACCCACCTTTTGTTGTCCTCCTCAACCTCACCATCTTCGGATTTGAACCCTAGACCATGGCTGGCAGCAAGAAAACCAATATAGACCCTGGTGCAGCTGGAACTTCTCCTCCTGAATCTGATCCTCCAAAACAAATGGACCCTATTGACATCTTCGAAAATTGAGATCTACAAGAAGAGCTTTCTTTGATTTGTAACAAGGCACTGAGAAGCTTTTAAGACCAGGTTTTTCTTGAAACTTCAGATTCTTTAATTTTGGGTCTTGTTTTCAAATCAGCACCTCCTTCAAATCTGCATGTTCTGTACCCACAACCTCACAGACACTTCTTCCCTTTCCAACTCAAACCAGATTGAGAGCCTTGGCTCAATAAATTTGGATCTTGGCCAACTAATAAAACTGATGATTGGCCTTCTTAGGTTGCTCGACTAGAAAAACCCTTTGGAAACACATGGAAAACACTAGGTCTATATGAATTTATCCAAATGACCACTTACCAGACGTCTATGGATAGGGTTTTGGTTGGAGTTGCTTTCCTGTTTTGGTCTGGGTCTTATAATTGTTTTCATTTTCCTTGTGGTGCTATGTTCGTTACTTTGTTTGACATTTGTTCTTTTACTGGCTTGCCTTGCATTGGAGAAGAAATCACAGCTTTATTGAATGTCCCAGGTGCCAACTTTGATACAAAATCCATTTTACCCTCTTACAATGCCTTCATTAAAGTTAGCCAAAACCCATTTAAAGCCCTAGACATGAAAGAAAATACTGTATTTCTGCTAACCTTAATTTGCAAGTTCATTGTCTGTGTAGTTGGAAAAGGGCCCACCAAGGAATATATCACTTTAGCTTTAGCTTTAGCTCATGGCAGGCGCTTGGCACTTGCTCCATTTTTGTTGGCTAGCCTTTATCAAGGCTGTTATGATGCTACCATTTATCCATTCAGCCTCTGTGGTGGCCCTTTATGGATTTTACAGCTTTGGTTGTACTGTTACTTTCCAGCCTTGGGTCTTACTCTCAAGCTGTAGTCTGCTAAAGAAATTCTTACTTATGGCATGATTTACAAAGATGCCACTTTTGAAGGCAAGCTTGCCAAGACTTATGAATCTTGCTTTCAATTTTTTGCTTCTCTCTCCATTAACAAACCAAACTCCAAGTTTGCCCCAATTCTTGATAGACAGTTTGGGCCAAACTGGTATAAAGCAAACGTAGGGACGACAAGCTGCATTTCAGCATGGACAGCCTTTGTAACCCCCGAAACCTGTTTATAGGCTGCAACAGTAACTGCAAAAAGAGTGGGGTTGAGCTCTATGCTCCTAACCAATTCAGCCAGCAGTTAGGCTATTGTCAAGGGATTCTAGTGCCTCCTATGTTCTCTTTCAACCATTGCTTCCCTCTTCATTACAGCATGAAATGAGCCACTATGATCTCCAAATACTTAGCCACTTCAATGCTTGCTCTACAAAACATAGACTTCCAAGGTCCACCATTCAAACCAAGTTGCACTATAATGTACAAGGAATGGTGGAAGTCTTATTTTGTGCCAAGTTTTTTTGGTGTCGTTGAGAACTTTATCAGTCTTCTTCCTTCCTCGCAACCTAGCCAATCCGTAGTAGAAATAGAACCTCAGGTTGATGACATTGTCCCAGACTCTATTACTTCAAGTCATGCTCTGGCAAGAAAGAAGGCCACAGCCAAACGGAAGGCTTCCAGTCTAATGAGTCTTGAAATAGACAAGGCACCCCACAAAGCTCCCAAAA